ATGCATATGTAAAATGATCAAAACATACATTTTACTCCTTTCTAACGAATAAAAAATAATTAATATTTACTCAAATCGAAGGGTTGAGTTTCTTGATCAAATTTCATTTTTTGACCCCAAATGGTCATTTTTGCTTCCATTTTCAAATCCTACAATACAAAAATAATAAAATAACTTAAATACATAATTTAAACACAAAATCGCACCAAATTAACATATATAACAAAAACATTGGATTGCCTCCCAATTAGCACTTTTGTTTATAGTTATTAGTTCGATTAAAGAGAATTGACTCCTAAGGTTAAAGAAGAATCATTAAAGGACAAATAAGTCCCTTAAAGATGATTTCATCCACCATGTAGGGTTTTAAGTTTTGTCCATTGACCTTAAATCTCTCATTTCTTGCATTAACTACTTCAACAAATTCATAAAGAAATACTTGAGTGACTTCAAAATGGTCTCGACCATCTTGACTTTAGTTTTTCTGGAAACAATCTAAAGCGCAAGTTGTATAAAAGCACCATGTGCTCCACCTCAAATTGTTTAGGAATAATATACTTATCATGCTAACATTTGACCTTATCTTTATAAATTTTGGCATTTTTATAAGCATGTAGTCAGTATTCCTTCATTTCTCTTAACTCAAGCAACCTTCTTTCCACCTGCAAGATTAAAATTCAAATTAATTGGTTTAATAGCCTAATATGCCTCATGTTCAATCTTCAGGGGTACATGACAAATTTTTTGTAAACTAAACAATATGGTGACATCCCCAAGGGTGTTTTAAATGCCTTCCAATATGCCCAAAGTGCATTCTCGAGTTTTCTCATCCAATTCTTTCGAGATTTTTTCACCGTTTTCTCTAAGATAAGGTTGATCTCCCGATTTTTTAACTCTGCTTGTCCATTGGCTTCAGGATGGTATGGAAGTGATGTCTTATGCCTACAACCATATTTAAACAATAAGGAATCAAGTTGTTTATTATAGAAATATTTTCTTTCATCACTTACTATGGTTCTAGCTATACCGAATCTATTAAAAATATTCTTTTTAAGAAATCGAAATACTACCTAAATATCATTCGCAGGTGAAACAATTGTCTCTACCCATTTAGAGACATAATCCACGGTTACTAAAATATACTTATAATTAAAAGAACTAGAAAACGGTCCCATAAAATTCATCTCCCAAATATCAAATAATTCAACTTCTAAAAAAGTAGTAAGGAGCATTTCAGTTTTTCTTGATGTGTTCCCAATTTTTTGGCATATTTCACAACTTTAACATATTTTCTAACATTTCAGTACATTGTTGGCCAATAAAATTTCGATTACCATACTTTTGTTACAGTTTTTGATGTACTAAAATGACTACTTGTTTTTAGATTATGATAATGATATAAAATATCACGTACCTCGTTCTCGGGAATGCATCTACGTATCCTACCATCAGCACAATGTTTATATAGCAGTGGTTCCTCTCAAAAGTAAGTTTTAACATCATGCAAAAATTTCTTCTTTTGGTGATAATTAAAACCCTTTGGCATTACTCTACTTATCAAATAATTAGCAAAATTCGCATACCATGGGGAATTGACAATTGTTAAGACAAATTCATCCAAAAAATTCTCTTTAATTGGAACTCAGTCATTGGTAGGAAGATACTTTAGTCGTGATAGATGATCCGCCACAAGATTCTCCGATTCCTTTTTATCCTTTATTTCGACATCAAATTCTTGCAACAATAGAATCCATCGAATTAGATGAGATTTTGCATCTTTCTTATGGAGCAAATATTTTAGAATCGAATGATCAGTATAGATGATAACTTTAGATCCTACTAAATAGGATCTAAATTTATTTAAAGCAAATATGACCGCCAATAGTTTTTTCTCCATAGTTGCACAGTTAAATTGTGTCTCATTTAGCAATTTGCTCACATAATAGATGACATGCAACATTCCTTTCTTTCTTTGCCCTAAAATGGCTTTAACCGCATAGTTGCTTGCATCACACATCAATTCAAATAGTAGCAACCAATCCGATGAAGTTATAATTGGTGCAGAAGTCAACTCTTTCTTTAACCTATCAAATGCAGTCAAACATTTGTCATCAAATTGAAAAAGGTATGCTTACATAATAAATCACAATAGCTTTGCTATCTAAGAAAAATCTTTAATAAAATGTTTATAAAAGCCAGCGTGTCCAAGAAAGTTTTTTATCCCCTTGACATTATTTGGAAGTGGCATTCTTTTGATAATTTTTATATTTACTTTGTCCACCTCAATTTCTTTAGATAATATCTTGTACTAAAAAACGATTCCTTCTCATACCATAAAATGGTATTTCTCCCAATTTAGTATAAAATTGGTCTCCTCACACCTCTACAAAATCAAACCTAAATTATTTAAAATAATAGTCCAAAGATGAGCTAAATACTGAAAAAATCGTCCATGAATATTTTCATAATTTTCTCAATATAATAAAAAAAATATGGCCATCATGCAACGTTAGGATGTAGCAAAAGTATTGCATAGATCAAATGACATCCTTCTAAAAGCAAAGGTGCCATAAGGACAGGTAAATGTAATTTTCTCTTGATCCTCCGGAGCTATAGCTATTTGGTTATACCTTGAAAAGTCATAAAAAAAGTAGTAAAATTCATAACCGGCTATTTGGTCCAATAGTTGATCAAGAAAGGGTAAGGAAAAGTGGTCTTTTCTAGTAACCGCATTTAATTTTTAATAATCAATATACACTCTCCACTAGACCCACAAGTCAAGATGGAATCATTTCATCATTTTTGCCCATAATTATAATGATTCCACTTTTTTTTAGAGATAACATGAATAAGACTAATCCAAATACTATTAGAGATAGGAAAGATTATGCCTACATCGAGCCATTTCAGAATTTCATTTCTTACTACGTTTTTTATATTTGAATTAAACCTTCTTTGCATTTTTGCCACCGATTTGCAATTGTCTTCTAATAGAATACGATGCCACATATAGAAGGATTTATGCCCTTGATGTCCAAGATTATCCACCTAATTGCTTTCTTATACTTTCTTAGAACTCTTAGCAATTTCGTACATTGTTTTTCATTCAGGTGAGCACTAATAATGTCTGGTAAAGTGCTATTTTTTTCTAAGAAATTTGTACCTTAGATAATTTGGAAGTGGTTTGATAGCTAATTTTGGAGGCTCAATTTTTGAAGGCGGTGGGAGCCCTTTTCCTTGATCAAGATTTTCATAAACATTACCCTATTTATAAGGTATTTGAATATCCAGATACTTAGCCAATTCTTCAATCTCTTCACAAGTTCCCTTTTGCATCCCTAAATTCGTCAAACAAAACTCAAGAGGGTCAAAATCAAAGTTGATTCGGCTCAACTCTTAGGTTAGCTTATTAATATTGCCAATAGAACAAGCATGATTGGTAAAAGAAGGGAATTTTTTTATTTCATTCAAATTAAATTTTACATCCTCTTCACCTACTTGAAACTTAAGTTTGCCATTTTTAATATCAATAATAGTACCTGCAGTTGTTAAAAATGGTCTACCAAGAATGATTGGCATAGACATATTTTCTTTCATATTTAATATCACAAAATCCACGAAAATGATAAATTTATACACTTTAATCAATACATTCTTCAATACTCTCAATGCATATCTAATCGACTTATCAGCTAACTGCAAGGTAATATGAGTGTGTTTTATCTCATGCAAACCTAATTATCTAGTCACCGTTAAAGAAATTAATGATACACTAGCACCAAAGTCACATAATACTATAGAAAATTCAATGTTACTGATAGTCCGTGGTATAGAAAAACTCTCTGGATCCTTCAATTTTGATGATAGCTTGTTTTGTATGATGGCATTGTGCTCCTCCGTTAATGCTATTGTTTCGCAGTTTTCCAATTTCCTCTATCTAGGCATGATGTCTTTTAAAAACTTCGCATATGAAGAAATCTATAAAATAGTATTGACAGGGATATTAATATGTAATTGTTTAAAAATTTTAATAAAATTTTCAAAATCTTTATCAAACTTATTTGATTTGAACTTTTGAGGAAATGACACCGCCGGAAGTATTGGAATGGCAGTGGAAGATGAGGGTTGATCTTCACTTTACCTTTCCCTGCTATCCTCCCCTACATTTGACTCTTGGTTCTCTCTCTCATTTTTCTTTTCTGCACTCTCAATTTTCCTCTTACTTTCAATCACCGGAGGATCTTCTAATTGTTTGCCACTACGAAGAGTAATGGCTTTAACATGCTCCCTCGGATTCACCTCCATTTTACCCAGTAATTCTCCTTAGTTTCTATTATTGATCGAATTAGCAATTTGACCTATTTGGACCTCTATATTTTTATACATCCTAATTAATTGGTCCAATCTCCCTTCTATTCGTTCAAATCTCTCCGAGGTGTCTTTGGGCAGTTTTTTCACCTCAATCTCTCAACCCGATTTAGTATCCGTTTATGGTTGCCTTGATTGGAATCTCAACATATTAGTCGATCTTTGAGGATTGCTTTATTCTTTCTATCCAAAATTTGAATGATTTCTCCACCTCGGATTGTATGTGTTTGAATAGGGGTTATTTTAAGCATTTCGATTGTAATTATTGACAAATTGAACCTATTCAAAATCAACACACTCATTAGTGTCATGGTCATCCCCACATATAGAGCAATATGCAACATGTACATTAGATGAAGAATTCGGACCAACTCCAGATTGTCTACTTAGCAATTTTATCACATTATTCATTTGGGCACTTAACATATTTAGAGTGTCCATTTTGATCATACCTAGTTGGCGCCTAGAATTACCTTGCCCATTGGTAGTTGTTTGCCGCCATCTCTTCTATCAAGTTTTGAGTTTCTTGGGGTGATTTATCAATTAAAACTTCACCAGCTGCTGCATCAATAGTAATTTTAGTAGAGAAAGATAAACCATTATAAAAAATTTGAATGATGAGCCATTCGGGAAGTCCATGGTGTGGACATTTCAGTAGCAAACCCCCAAAACCTTTTCCACGGTTTATATAATGATTCATCATCTTATTGGCTAAAACTAGTAATGTCTATTCTAAACTTAGCCATTGTACTTGGTGGAAAGTATTTATTCAAGAGTGCTCTAGATAAATCATCCCAAGTAGTCAAAGTATAAGGAGCATGAAAGTGTAGCTAAATTTTAGCTTCATCTCTCAAAGAAAACGGGAACAATCTTAGCCTTATAGCATTTTCACTAACTCCGTTCATTTTAATTGTATTACATATGTCCAAAAATGTGATTAAGTATGCATTTAGATCATCTACGGGATTACCTCCAAATTGAGATTATTGAATCATTTGAATGAGTGATAGTTTAATCTCAAAATTGTTAGCATTTACTGTTGGTTATGCTATACTTGTTTGTGATCTTTGCATCTCCGGTAGAGTAAAATCTCTAAGAGTTCACATATTTGTTTCATTTTCCACCATTTCTTCTTCAAAAGACAATTCAATAGCGATTCCCTCTATATCTTGAACCTTTTTTTCCTTTTGTTGTGGTGTACGCTTTTTTTGTCTATGCAGTGTCCTTTCAATTTTCGAATCCAAAGATCCAACCACACGTAATATCTGGTGTATATACTACAAGCAAGCAGAAAAGAGATAATGTAGTAATTATATCATAAAAATAAATAAAAATTCTTAACCTATCTATTGGCAAAATTTAATCTAACTAATAAAGAAAATGTCTAAATTAATAAAGATTGTTAGGCTCTAATATTATCGCTCTCGGACAATGATGCCAAAAACTTGATGGATTTTCAATATAAGTGCAAGTTTAATCCAAAATATATCCGTTTGACTGCAAGTATATAAGTCAAATAGTAGTTTAGGACATATATCGAGTCAATTCCACGAGAAGCAACTATTATAAGTACTAGATCCTTTACTTACTCTATTATTTAGACTATCTATCGAATGAAGGCAAAAGAAATAACAATACTTGCTATCTAACTATTTTAACTAAATAACTTGCAAGATAACAATGAAAAAATTTCACTAAATACTTGAGTCTAAAGAGATAGAGTCCACTTATGGCGCAAAGATATAAGTGAATAGATTTACCTCTTGTTACTACTCTTGTTTAACTAGAGATTTATTTCCAAATTTCGCAAAACTCACTCTCATGATGTAGTGGTTTAGAATAGTTTAGTTTTTCCTATTCTCATGATGAATAACTAGATCTACTCTTTGTTCTTCATGAAATGCAAAGTTAATTCACTTAAGTGTACCTCTATTCTCATGAGTCTACTCCTTAAACTCCATTTATGTTGTTCCATCATTATTACCAATTTTCATTATGTAATAATAACTAAAAACTTGTTATTGGTGATCAAGTAACAACAAGTAATAAGCATGTATAAATGGACAAGTTAATACAAGATGTAATAAGTGTAAATCATATTCACTTTATATCAAGTAGCCATAAGATTCATCTACTCTCTAGATCTAGAAATTTAGCTACTCGTGTGAAATAAGACAATAAAAAGCATAACTTCATTGCATGCAAACATAATGAATCACAAGTAAAGAGAAAGATAGAGAAAGCTTAGGCAGGATGATAAACAAGCTCCCAAATCTTGTATTTTTTCAACAAAATGAGTGATACAATGAATTCTCAAACTTTTTCTTACAACTTTCTAGCTAGAGAGAATGAGAAAAAACTAAAACTAATGTCTACCAAAAACTACCAACAATCCTCTCTCCCTTCAATGATTCTTGCATATGTATTGTTAAGAGAGTCAAAAGTGGTTAATGATAAGGCATAAAGTTTCTTTTCTCTTCCCTAAGGCATCTTGAGTATGTGCAGCTGAAATTCTGAGATAAAATTAAGCTGAAAAGTAGTGTGAAAATAGAGCAAGTTGCAGAACAAATTGCAGAAAGATAGGGGAGAATACGCGATCACTCAATACGTGACCTAAGGCCGCGTATTGAGATTGCGTATTGCTTTTTGGATTGATTTCTCAATTGTTTTCTGCTCCAATTCCTTATTAATCATCATACCCAGATGTTTGTTCATACAATGCACCATTAATACTTGCATTTGATCTTCTACTTTCCGAATTATCATTGAATCAAGAGCTAATGACTTCGAATCGAATCCATCTTGATCCAACGTTGAGAGTTCACCTCAATTCCTGCAAATATAACCAACTTCTGCACATTAAATTGCTCAAATGAAACTTGCAAAATTTCGAAGTTTAGGGATCAAGTTATATCTTAAATCATCCTAATTTATATCAAAAACACACACAAAATGCTACTAATATCCATATATACTAAACACGAAAGGACCCAAAATTTCCCTATTTTATTTTATTTTACTGGTTTAATTAATTATTTAGTTCGACTATTTAAAATCCATTTATATGGAAAAACGCCTTTTTTTTATGTTTTTAAAATGTTTTGTTAAAAAAAGTTACTTTTCGAAAACTCGTTTAGTTCGGAACAACGAGTACATGTTTTTCGAGGCTATATTTGAATCGAAAGTATATTAATTTTGGAGAAGTAAGAATGATCAATAGTAGATTAAGAAAAGTTAATTTCAGATTTGAGGAGTTAAAACTCGACTCATGTGAGAACTCGCAAAATTTATTATTTTAAATTCCATTTCGAGCTTATTTAAAAATTTAATTGCCCATTTACTCCGAATATTATTTTCCAATCTATTTAGACCTAATTACAAGAGTTTATAGCTTCATTATATTTTTAAAGTGACTCGTTTCAAAATTTAATTTTTGGAAACTCGTTAAGTGAAAATAGCGAATACGCGATTGGAGTCAATTATCGATTCGAGAATATACTAAGTTTGGAAAATTAGAGACTTGCAGGATGGACTTAAAATAGATAATTTTATGTTTAAGTACTTAAGTGATAGTTATTAGTACTATCGTTATAAGAATTTCTTAGAAATTTCACTCTATCACGTATAAATCGGAAGTACGCGTTTTCACGTGCGCATTTAATTGAGGGCTTTTAGACCATTAGTTTGGGACAATTAAGAGTAAATAATATTAATATGATTATAAGTATATTGGAGGTTTAGTGCACTAGTGAAATAAACTCGAGAGAAATCGAGCACAAAAAGCGCGCGTACGCGCACTATTCCTAGTTGACGTTTGAAACAAACTTTGGCCAAATCTTAAAGCTTCTCACGGAAGCTTATTATCAGCAATTGCTCTTCTTTTTCTGCTCTCATCAGCCGAACAACAGAAGGAGAAGAGAGAGCTCCAAGCTTCAACTTTCTTCTTCAAATTCCACCATCAAACTTCCTCTGTTTCACTTCAAAATTTGACCGCACCTAGCTTAACTCTTGGAGATTACATCTAGCTAAGAAAAGGGGGAGCTTTTCACGGTTTTCTTGGCCAAGGAGAGGACCAAAAATTTCTGTTGTACACATCAAAGCAAGTAGGTAACGATCAAACCTCGGAAACTTAATTTATGGAAGTTCTAGTGCACCTTTAAACTCTTACTTGCATATGGGTAGTTTGTTTTGATGGAAAATTTGGTTGTGTGGGCTCTATGAACTCCCACCCTTGTCTTGATGGCTGATGTGATGATTGATGATGGATTTAATATTGGTTTAGTGCACAAAAGGGTAGATTAATGGTGTATTATTAGTAGAAACTTCAAGGAATGCATGGAGTAAAAAGTTTCGATTCTGCCCCTGCTTTGAACGTACCTATTTCTGCAGAATTTTGGGGATTTAATGGCTGGTATATGATGTTTATATGTTGTATAGATGGTGTACAAAATTTCATTGAAAAATATTGAGGTTTGGTTGGGCAAATGAATTAATTTCTTGAAGGTAGCAGACCTGGAAACTGTTCCCGTAATGCTCAAACCAGCTTTCTTGTTTCGTCCATAACTCTGTGCTCCGACGTCGAAATCAAGTGCCATCAGAGGCATTTGAAACTAGACATTCCCACATTTCCAACGGTATAAAATACACATTCTGGTTCCATGTATGTGAGCCGAACCAACCTTTTAAATTCGGCTGTTCTGTTTCTCTGTTTTCCTGGATTGAAATGCTGAGGCTGCAACTTGTGGCTCGAATTCGAGCTAGTTGTGTGCCGAATTTCAAAATGATTTCTTCTGTGACTTTTTAGCTCTATGAACTTATTTTCCAATGCCATAAACCATGCCCAATTCTGAGTTAAGTTGAGTGATTTATGATCAAAATACGGAACCTGCCCTGCTCTTGAAAACCCTAACTTTTGGACAGATTTGATGCAAGGCTTGGTGTAGACTTGCTAACTGAATATTTTGGTGCTAAACACTTATGAAATGTGCCATGAATGTTCCTTAGGCTTTTCCTACACTAATGAGCCATGTTTGAGGAATTTGTCCTTGACCAAATGTTTGGAATGGAAAACAAAAGGGCTCAAGGCAGTTTTGTCTTAGGATTTTCGAAACTTTGGTTGTTTGAGTGACTACCTTCCCGAAGGTATTTTTCTATGAAATTTGATAGAGAGATACACTTTATATAGGAGTATTATACTGCCAAATTTTGTACCAATCCAAGTCCATTTCGATACCTAACTAAAGTCCCAAATTTGGAAGCTCAAATCTGGAAATTTGTTCACCAGTTTTGAATTTTTCCCTAACTTTGAGCTACCGTATCTCGGTGCTCGAAACCCCGATTCTTGATCCGCTTTTTCTGTTAAAAACCTTACTTGCAACTCTAATTGAGTTACAGATTTCAGAGGCTAGCTCGCAACGTGTGAATTTTTCCGAATTTCCAAAGTTAGCGAAAAACCAACCCCAACACAACCTTAAGTACTCTGAAACAGTAACTTTGAGCCCATTTTTGAATATCTTTCATTTAGAATCATGGAAAAGTGTCTTCTAAGAACTTTTAGTACTTTCTAAGAGGTTTCCAACGGTATCAAGTTTTCCAATTTTGGACTTGTGTAGAGTGAGATACGATTTTTCAAAGACTCGTATCAAAACGGAAATTTTTCGAATTCTAAGAAAATGGAGTTTTTCAAGTACTCCTTATTCCTTTAATATTTCTTGAACGTTTTATACTTGCTTTTTCAAAA